GCCCAAGGTCATGTAAGGTACAGTGACCTGGGCCCACCGACGCATTTCACCTCTCACCTCCCAGGGCAGCCTTCCGCGGAGGCCAGATTCTGATCTAGCTACTCCAGAAGGAAAAAGTCCCTGCCCCTGCCCTGGAGAAGCCGCTGCTCCCTGCGGCCCCAGGGCCCGGCCCAGTCCAGGGCGAGTCAGCAGCAAGCAGTGGGGGCGGAGGGCGGGCCAGGCCGCCTCCCCAAGGCCCTGCCACCGCCACCGGCGTTTTCTCTGGTTGCTTCCTCCCTTCACTGAGAACGCGCGGGCAGCTGATCCGCCTTTCAGAGGAGGTGAGACTGGGTAGCTTTGGGAGTTTCCTGTTGTTTATTCTTTGGTTTTGTTCATCCTTAAGAGCTTTTAAGAACGCTGCTGTGGCATTAACTTCAGGAAATGATCTCGTGGCCCAAGCAGACCGTCTTTGGACAGCTGGGTTCCTTTATGTGGAGGATGCAGTCCCGGGATCCCAACTAAAACCCATGTGGAGGAACCCAGGGCAGGGCTGTCCTCTGGCCTCAGAGGCTGAGGGGACAGCGGGCTGACAGTGGACCCGGAGCAGGGAATGGCCACATCCAGAGCGGAGATTGCCCTGATGGAGGAGATCTCCCCACCCCACCCCGGGGCATGTTTTTATGGGAAATCTAAAATGACAGGGGAGTGGGAAAGCAACCAGGAAAAACACTGCAAATAGCTGAGGCAGCCTGCCCCCGCCCAGAGAAGGCACAGAGCTCAGCTCACATCCCTGTGGGTTCCTGGGGGGGGGGCAGGGGGTCCTGAAAAAGCCATCCCCACCCTGCTGTGCTGATAATTTGAAAACAGTGTAGTCAAATTATTTAAAGTTTGTATATCTGTATTCAGTGAAAAGTAATGCCAAGAAAGATGGTGACACTGAGCACTCCACTCTGGCCCAGGGACCCTGCACAGGTCCCTTCTTCGGGCCCTGTCTGTGCTGTCTGCACTTTGACCATGGTGGAAGCAGGCAGGGCATAGATGGGGCTGGGGGTGGGGTTCATTTTGTCTTTTGCTCAGCTATTTGAAAATACAAGCAGCCCCATGCAGTCAATTCCTTGAGCCCCTGGTTTTAGACTGAAGACTCCTATTGGTAATCTGGGAAATTCTGGCACTGCCCATCAAAGTCATTGGGCTGTAGGTCCTCGCTCCTGCCCTCAGACATCCACCTTCCTGCTCCGCTTGGGAAGTGGCAGCCCAGGAGTCCCAAGAATGCCTGGGGACTGCTGTCCACCTGCTGTAAGCTGACTCAAAGCCACCTGTCTGTCCTCATCCAATGACCACAGTGCAGCTCTGAGTTCTGTTCTGGTTTCCCTCCAGGGATTTCTGGAAAGGCAGAGATCTCTGCTTTGGGGGGATCCCTGCTGACTTTGACCAAGAGACTCATCAAATGGGGGCTAGAATGTCCCAACTTTGTGAAGCTGTAAGGATTGTAGATCATGTGTATACAGGGCCTTGCACAAGCAGGTGGGCACTGGTGTCCACTGTCAAGATGACATTTCCCCAGTGGCAACTGTTCCAGTGATTTTTATTCTAATCTCTTTAACTGATTTGACAGAACCAAGCTCACATCTGCCACTCTCCAAGTTTAGAGAAAGGAAACTGACTCTATATTCATGCATTGGGGGGGCTTTGAGAAGTGTGATGGGGGCGTTTGACAGGAGGGATACCTACACTCTTGGAGGAAGGCACTGGAAGCTGGTCTTCCGCCTCCAAGCACAGGTGGGTGCACAGAGTCTTTATGTAAAGGTGGCAATGAGCCATGGCCATGGGCAAGCTCTGTGGGGACCCTGGTGAAGGAGACTGTCTCTAAAGAGGTGAGAAATGAAACCTGGAGACAGTCATTTTGGGACAGTGCTGCATAATAAAAGTGTATGTGGCCACCTTACAATACTGCTATGTTGCCAAAATATATAGTTATTTGAGTTCTATTTTTATAACATAGTTTTAGATTTATGGCAATATGTACATGTGCATTTATAGCCTCCCCATTCTAAGTTATAGTTTTGTGCTTTAAATAAATATATATAACTAAAGAACTGTATATTGAAAACACTATATTCAAATTATTTAAAACTGTAAGTCTGTATTCAATAAAAAGTAATGCCAAGAAAGATGGTGTTGGCCATTGTTTCTACACAGAAATGCTATTAAATTTTTGGCATAAATTCTGTGAGCTGGGTCAGCAATTCACTTGCCTTTGTCTGAGGTCTGTCAGCAGCAGTGGATGTCCTAGGTACAGGGACCAAGAGAGAGGAGGGAGGGGGGAAGAAGGAACTTTGTCTCCCCTAGTGTGTGGCTGTGGTACAGAGAAGCTTCCCAGGGTGTTCGTGATAAGGTTGGCAGAAAGCGGGGTGTAGGGCTGAGTGCCTCTGTGTAAGCCTGCCCAAACATGCAGAGGTAGAACGGAGTGGAGGGAAAAGCACCAGGCACAGGGATGGGATGCCTGAAATACGAACCCAGCTGTTTCTCTAACTTACCAAGGACTTTGGGGGTGCCATTTCACCTTCTAGCCCTCAGTTTCCCCGTCTGTAAAATGGGGATGTTGGTATCAGCACTACCCACTTCCAGGGTTGTGATGAGATGACACAAGATGGTCATTGTATGAAAACTTAGGAAGTGAAATAAAAAACTAGCATTCCTATTGCAGACTCACAAGTACCTGCTCACACAGGTTCCCTTAGCCGGCTCGGCCCAAAGATGCACTCCAAGCTGCAAGGCCTGCTCCGAGCCACAATAGTCTGCAGCACCAGAACTCAAATTCCTCCAAGCAGAAGCCCGAGTGCTTTCCAGTCAGAGCCTAAAAAGAACCTCGAAGTGTATGGTGTGTGATTGGGGTGCAGAAAAGGCATTATCCCAAAAGATAAGGGCCCAGAGTGCTCCCAGGGAATGGAGGGGGTAGGAAGGCTCAGAACCTAAGCCATGTGGGTTTGCTCTTATCACATATACCACACTTGGCCCTGGAATAAGCAGATGTGGACAACAGAGAAGAGTATGACAGGGAACATACGAAAAAATAACACCCACTCCTGTTGTCTCTGAGGTCCTGTGGGGTGGGTGCTGGTACATTTGGGTAAAAATGCAGGGAAGAGTCCCTCCCAGTATCATAAGAGCAACCAGAAGTTTCCAAATTACCCCTATGCAGTTCTCCTCAGGGGTGGGCTGAGAACCAGTGCCTTGGGCTTCCTTTATAAGTTCAGCTATTTCCCCGATTTTGTTTCTCCGAGTTGTCCTCCTAAACACACCTCTCACGTGTGCAGGATGAACGATATGCCACCCCTGGGTCATGTAGCAGGACCTTTCTAAAAGCTCTGCCGTTCTACTCCCTAAGGGTCAGCTCTCCCTTGTCTGTTTTTTTCCTACTGCTTCTTCCATCTCCTTGTGGGATTTCACTTCTATTTCTGTACCTTATATGTCATTAGGTCCCAGGATTCTGTCTTTGGTCTCTAATTTCTTACATTAAAGGAGCAGCAGAATGGCAGGCTGAGCTGATGCAGACGGGCCCCCTCCACCTATAGGAAACATACACACACAGAGAAAATTCTTTCAAACATATAGATGCGTTTGAGAAAGGCATCTCCCATGCCGGGACAAAAGAAGGATTCCCAAAACAAAGCGGTGAGCAGGAGCTAAAGTTAAATCCAACCAGACACAGACTCTAGAGGCGGACACCCCTGCCACTTAAAAAGGACATCAGCTCAGCCCCGGCAAGGTGGGACATGCAGCCGAACTTCCCACACGAAACCTTAACCTCGCTGAGGTGTCCCCACCCCATAAAAAGGTCTAGAAAACCTCTTCCCGTCAACCCAGGGGAGCATTGAGAAAATGCGCCTTTCACCCAGAGCTGTAGATAACGGGAAAAGACATCAGTGAGAATTAAACTGGAAGCTTGTGTCATAGGTGGATGTGGAGTCTGAATTTATACAACTTAAATGTAAAGCAGGAATTCCAATTCAATGATTTTTAATTGTCTGGGTCACTAAGACCCAGAAGGTCTCAGAAGCAAATGCAAAACCACTTTCCACAACCCTGGGCACACCAAACCCCACGGGGGGAAATACTCCATTGAAGGTGAGCTAGCAGTCAAAACATGCAAATGGCCTAAGAAATTGCTCAGGGGGGGAACCGTAGATCCAACAAACAGGAGAATTAACATCATAAAGGCGAGAGAAAACAGATGACTCAAAAAAAGCTATACAATAAGTAAGTTTAACATTAAAAAGAAATAAAAATACAGAAAAGATACATGTAGGAGTTTAAAAAGGAAAGATTAGAGATGGGAGTGGAGAGCACTATTCAAAGAGAAAATGGCTAAAAATATTCCACAATCAGAGAAACAGATCTTTCTAAAACTCACGGTTCAAAGAAGAAAGAAAAAAAAACTTTTAAATTTAGGGCAGAATGATAGTAAAGATACTTCATATCAAAACCTCTGGGCCCTGGCTGGTTTGGTTCGGTGGTTACAGCATCAGCCCACGGACTGAAGGGTCCTTGGTTTGATTCCAACCGACGGCACAGGCCTCAGTTGCAAGCTTGATCCCCGGCCCTGATCAGTGTGCGAGTGGGAGGCAGCCAATCGATGTCTCTCACAGCAATGTTTCTATCTCTCCCCCCCCCCCTCCACCCCACACTCTTGTCTGAAAAGCAATGAAAAAAATATCCTCCAGTGAGGATTATAAAAAACAAACCTCTGGGATACAACAAATGTCACCCTTTCAGGGAAATCTATAGCTTAAAATACTTACATCAGAAAAGAATACTGAAAATTGATGAGCTAAGTGTAACTTAAAAAGTAAAAATTTTTAAAAAGAACAGTAAATTCAAAGAAAGCAGAAGAAACAGTAAACTCAAAGTAATAAAGATTAAAAACAGCTCTCAATGCAGAACTAGAACAAATATTCCAAAAACTTATATGGAACTACAAAAGACCCCAAATAGCCACAGCAATTTTGAGAAAAAAGAACAAAGTTGGAGGAATCACACTACCTGATATCAAACTATACTTCAAGGCCATTGTAATCAAAACAGCATGGTACTGGCATAAAAACAGACAGATCAATGGACCAGAATATAGAGCCCAGAAATAAACCCATGATTTTATGGTCAATTAATATTTGATAAAGGAGGCAAAAACATACAATGAGATAAAGACAGTAAATTCAATAAATGGTACTGGGAAAATTGGACATACATGCAAAAAAATGAAACTAGACCACCTTCTTACACCACACACAAGAATAAACTCAAAATGGATTACAGACTTAAATGTTAGACTCAAAACCATAAAAATCCTAGAAGAAAACATAGGCAGGACAATCTCAGACATTTCTCATACCAATATTTTTTCTGATATATCTCCTCAGGCAAAGGGAAAAAGAAACAAACAGGACTACATCAGACTTAAATGTTTTTGCACAGCAAAAGAAACCATCAACAAAATGAAAATATAACCCATTGAATGGGAGAACATATTTGCCAATGATACATCTGATGAGGGGTTAACATCCAAAATTTATAAAGAACTCATACAACCCAACACCAGAAAAACAATCCAATTAAAAAATGGCAAAGGACCTCCATAGACACTTCTCCAAAGAGGACATTCAGATGGCCAGTGGACATAGGAAAAGGTGCTCAACATCACTAATCACCAGAGAGATGCAAATTAAAAGCACAGTAAAATATCACCTCACACCTTTCAGAATGGCAATAAATCAACAAACAGTAAGTGTTGGCGAGGGTGTGGAGAAAGGGGCACCCCCGTACTCTGCTGGTGGGAGTGCAGACTAGGGCAGCCGCTGTGAAAAGCAGTATGGATTTTCCTTAAAAATTAAAAACGGAGCTGCCTTTTGACTCAGTGACCCCACTTCTGGGAATATATCCTAAGAATCTCAAAACACCAATCAGAAAGAATATATGCACCCCTATGTTCATTGCAGCATTTACAATAGCCAAGATTTGGAAGCAGCCCAAGTGCCCATTAGTGGATGAGTGGATAAAAAAACTGTGATGCGTTTACACAATGGGATACTACTACTCGGCTACAAAAAAGAAGGAAGTCTTACCTTTTGTGACAGCCTAGGAGGACCTGGAAAGTATTAGGCTAAGTGAAATAAGCCAGTCAGAGAAAGACAAATACCATATGATTTCATGTGTATGTAAAATCTAATGAACAAGATAAACTAACAAACCAAATAGAAACAGACTCATAGATACAGAGAATAGACGGACAGCTGTCATAGGAGAGGGGTGTTGGGGGGCTGGGTGAAAAAGGTGAAAGGGTTAAGCACACACAGAAAACAACAGCTCATACACACAGACAACAGTAACAGTATGGCGATTTCCACAGGGACAGGGGCTCAGGGGGGTAGAAGAGGGTAAAGGGGGGATAAGTGGTGATGGACGGAGACTTGACCTGGGATGGTGGACACACAATACTGTATACAGTATTACAGAATTGTGTTACAGAATTGTACACCTGAAACCTATATAATTTTATTAACCAATGTCGTCCCCATAAAGTCAATAAAAAATTTTTTTAAAGCAGCTATCAATGAAAGAGAAAATATAAAACAATAGAGAAGCTAAACAAAGCCAAAGTTGGTTCTTTAAAAAGACTAACAAAATAGACATGTTTCTGGTAAAACAAATTTTAAAAAAGAAAGTCAGAAATAAATAATATTATGAATAAAAACTTGACATAACTATAACAAAGTAGACATTTAAAATAAAAGAATACATCAACCACTGTATGCCAATAAATTTTAAAACAGATTAAAATAGAAAAATTCTTAGAAAAACATAATTTGCTGAAACTGGTGCAAGCAGAAAATGTCTAAATATTCTTATAAATCTTAAATAAGCTAAAGAAGTACTTTAAAATCATCCCACTCAATGAAAAGGGGGGGCATAAAATGTTATAGAAGTGTTTTACCAAACATTCAAAGAAGTGGTCATTTTAATTGTACACAAAATAAATAAGGGAATATTTCCTCTTCTATACTCCTTTATTCTATGAAGCTAGTATAACTTAATATCCAAACCAGAGTAGGATATACAATGAAGAAAAACTACATGCCTATTTCACTCATGTATATATATCCAGAAATCCTAAACTAAATATTAGCAAATTCTAACAGTATATAGAAAAGATAATACACCAAATGATAGAGTCAGGTTTATCCAAGAATGCAAAATATTTTAATATTAGAAGATATCTAATTGTAATTTACTCATCAACAGCTTAAAGAATAAAAATAATAATATAATTCTAATTTATTATAAAAAGTGGTATTTGAAAAGGCACCAAAATAAAATTCTAGAATTGAAAATTAAATAACTGAAATAAACAATCTGATTGATGACTTTAACAGCAGTTAAGACACAGCTGCAGAAAAAATTAGTAAACTGGGTTACAGGTAAAAATGAATGAATGCTCACGTACATATATATAAGACCAAAAGGAGCATGGAAGAAAAACACAGAAGAGACATAAAGAATACAGTGAGAAGGTCTAACATACATTTAACTGGAGTCCCTGAGAAGTGAGAAAATGGGACAGAAGCAATATGTGATAACAGCTCCAATTTTTCTGAAACCCAATGGAGGACTTAAATTCACAGTTTCAAGGATCTCAACAAATCCCAGGCAAGATAAATGAGAAGAAATCTATATATCGGCACCTCACAAGGGTTTCCAATTGATGCTGCACCCCTGAATTGCCTGGGAAGGTAACTTGGCCCCTCTGAGCTTCAGTTTTGTAAATACAAAATAACAAAATATGACCTACTTTATAAGGATGGTGAAATGATTAAATGAGATAACATATGGAAAGTGTTAGTGTGTTGGCTGACACAAACTTTCTGTAATTGGCTCTAAATATTGGCTGTTGTTATTTATCAACATTTTCCCTACCAGGTTGAAATCCCATGTTTAACTGGCTGCGAGAGTCACTAAAGCAAGTCATCTCCAACCACCAGCAGTGTACCACAGCAGTGGGCACAAAGAAGGTGGTGCAGGTGTCCAGGAAGGGAAACTCCTCACCCTCACCCATTACACCAGGCACT